CCCCCGCCCCCCTCCCCGCCTGCGGAATGGGTAATGAGGCTTTTCTCCGCAGCAACAGCATCACGAGTTTCAGTTCCCAGGAGCCCGCCGCCACCGCCACGATACGACATGAGTCAGGCTTTCTTCCTTGGCGCGTGGCGGAGCCCTCCTCCCCCTCGCCGCACCTGGGCTCACCCCCGGCCCGCGTCGCCCGCGCCCTCTAGGCGGAGGCCCTCTAGGGGAGCTGCGCGGCTGTCCGCGGAAAGCCGAAGTGTCTTCGAGATAGGTGCTGCCTTTTGTGCAGTGTCGTTGCGGCTGCCATGCGGTCCCCCCCCCTCGCCCTTCGACGAGCAGGGAGGGCCAGCCGCCAGCGGGCAGATGTTGCAGCTGTTTGCTGTTAACTACCTAACTGCCTCCCGGGTAGGCTCTTCGCTAGAGAGGGCGTGCTTGCAGTCCATCCCTACCTGGAGGGAAGAAGCAGCCCAGCCCAGTAAACTAATTGACCTCAACAGGTGGAGCTTATCTCCAGCAGAGATGTCTTTTCGTTTAATTGTCCAGGCTATATAGCCCCCAAAGGTTTGAGTTAAAAGACAAAGTCCTAGTGGTAACACAAGTGCAGTGATAAATGAAGACTACCTTTTAGGGTTGGAAAAGGAAAAAGAGCCTACTGTAATTTCAGTTAAAAAAAAAAAAAAACCTGCATGGTCTGAGCATAGTTCTACAAAGCAACGTTAGGTTTGATTGGAGGCAGTTTACTGGAAGTTGCTTCCCTAGCATTACACGTCAAAACATTCTAGCTCTAAACTAGAATGTACTACTAAGCGAGAATGTACTTCTCGCTCAGGAATTAGCAACAAACTGATATGGAAAACCCTAGAGAGTTTTTTTGTTTTTTGTTTTTTTTACCTAGGCTGTTGAGCGACTAAACTTTTATGGTTAGACTTCTAATTCAGGAAATCTCACAGATTTACAGATCTATAATCCTATTTCAGGAGCTTGTTTAAGCATAAAGAGCTGAATTCTCTTGCAGAGTTTTATAGACCTCTAGTTGTCAATTCAGCGCATTACCTTTAGGATTCTCTAAACTATTTTCTTCATTCCATCCCTCAGTGTCTCCATTCTCTTATATTATTACTGAACAGAAATGCACCCTCAACGTCCTGTGTATATCCTGTATCAAAGCCATGATGTATTGCTGTTATTTCTGTGGTCTCCGCCCCCCTCCCCCCCCCCCCACTCAACCAAAACGGCAGGACTACATTTTTCACCTTAAATTGCTAATGTGGAGCTCTGCACTAGGTACAAAGTAGGTGCTCACAAATACTGAAAATGGTGTGGTAATGAAAATCAAATACATTTGAAGAGATCGTACTTGTCTTAAGATATTCATAAATATATGAGTGATTGTATTTTTACATACCCATGGCCATTTGTGTATTTTACAAAAATCATCTTTTTAATACCCTCGACAGCTTTTGTTGCAAGTGAAAAGGATGGTTAATAGGGGCCATCCTTTGTCGAAATGTAAATCTGACATACTATTTCAACAGTTTGTGAATGGAAAAAGAAGCTATCTTAGCCACTTGAACCTGCAATGGAATGTAGATAGGCAAAATGTTTCTTTGGACTAGTGTGAAAGAAAATGCTCTTGATCTCTAAAAATGTTGCATTAGGTCCACCCCAAACAACAGCTCAACACCCCCACTTGGACCCTAAATACCCTCTATGATTGTGCTGATATGGTTAGAAGCAGAAGAAACAAAGTCTTAACCCAAAGTTGACAGAATGAGGTGAGATAATCCTATAAAAGCAGATACTTGTTCTGATAACCAGTAGTAAAGGATATTGTTTAGGGCTGTTTTGATGGAAGGGGAGTAACATTATTTCTTTTAAAAGGCGCTTTTTTGGTGACGCCTGGGTGGCTCAGAAAGTGTCCGACTTCAGCTCAGGTCATAATACAGAGCCTGGAGCCTGCTTCAGGTTCTGTGTCTCCC